ATTAAACTAAACCTCGGGGGGGTTTTGACAATAGGAATACTAAAGACTAAAGAGCATAAAAGTAGTATTGACAATGAAATTGAATTGTATCGCCGCTATTCTCATATAGTAGGAATCACTAGAACTGGTAGAAGGAGCATCTTTATTTTAGCCCCTTGATTTATATGAGAAGTTTTCTGGGTCCTGGGTACCAATATGCTACTATCTTTCTGATCTATTACGTACGCAGGTATGTTAAGGTCTTGCCAACTAAGAATTTCCCTAGTTATTGCAAAATCCTATCAACCAGTTATTCCCTCAATAACTGCTATATGTTACTGCTAGTATACTAAGTACACCCCTTCTCAGCTCTCTCAGGTTTTGCAATGGCAGTCGTGTATAATAGGTGGAAGATCTGTTTAAAGTGAGAAATGTTGAATAACTGATGCACATTATTCATATTATTCCAGGACTTCATTGGTGGACACAGAGATCCTCTTCTGGGCAGTTACAGCAAGCTGGAGTCGAGTTTGAGGTCGTCTTACTCACAGTTAGGCAGCAGCTCCTACCCATCCTCGACATTTTCAGGGCAGCAACGTTATGGGGGCTATGGCTCGTCGGGCATTGGGGGATATAGCAGCTATACTAGGCTATAATTTGGTAGGCTCGACCTCTTCTCCATGAGGTCAAATGTGCTCCTCTTTCCTCATGTGTGCACAAAATCTGCAGATTGATCATGGAGAGGCATTTAGTTGTGTCTGTAGTTTGTATTTGATTTTGGTGATGCTACTTTAAGTCAATATTTAAACTAAGCTATACGATATCATGGTCTTTTAGTTTGTTCCGCATATGGTATTAAGTGCTTTAATTGAGTTAATTTTTTCTTTGCATTTAATGGGGGCTTATCCTTCAACTTGTGCACAACGACATTGGATGAGCTTTCACTTGATTTCTTATTAAATACTTGATGTGTATAAGCACCTATATCCAGTTCAACGATGCTTGTATCGTCCTTTAGACTGATTTGGTTACCTATAAAACAACTTTGGTAGGTTACATGTAAATCAGTGTTGAGACGTGTCTTAGCGTAACGTCTTCGACACTCAAGTTAGAGCCTCAATAGAGGAGTCTAATGCATGTAGAGTGAGTATTGGTACTGTGTGTTGGGGTTCTCATGCATGTCCATTTGTTATGTTATTTATATTGATTACTTTGTCTACCTAGTAGTCGGATTTGTTAAGGTATTTAGAGATTCGTGAGAATCCTTTACCTGTACGTTTCAGCTTTACCAACAACACTTAGACTATCCTTATTCCCAACCCAACCCAACATAACAATTAAAAATTATTTCTCTCTCCTACACTTACACAACTCAACTTTTAACAACCTACATATCTTTATTCCCAACCCAACCCAACCAAATATAATATTTATTTTATTTTTATTTATTATTTATTTAATATTATATACAAAATATTATTTTTTTATTATTTTATCTACAATTCAACTCAACATAATAATTTCAATTGTGCTCCAAAATATATCAAGAGTAGTCTCTATTTATAGAGAATGAAAAAATATGAATTTTGATATATTTTATTTTATTTTTTAATATAAAATAATATCTATAATTTAAATTATAGTTATGTTAACATATAATATTTATAAAAACCAATGGAAATGGGACAAGTGTCCCATTCCTCTTTCCTTTCTCTAAAAAGCATGAAATTAAAAAAAAAAATAAATAAATAAAAAGTCGCCAACTTTTGGCCCAATATTTAATTTTTCTTTTTTTTTTCATTTTTTTATTACATTTTAATTGGTGACCCAATGGAACGGGTCACCACTAAATATAGTCTTACGGTATTCAGGTTGGCCCATCTTTTTTTTTTT